GGGGTCTGGGGGGGGGTAAATAGGGGCACTGAGGGGTCACAGGGGAGTCCTGGTGGCACAGGGGGGGCACAGAAGGGTCCCGGGGGGTCCCAGGGTGCATCACTCACGTCAATGGGCGTCACCTTCTTCTTCCTCCTGCGCTCAGGGCGGCCGCTGATGCCAGGCAGGTCGAGGGGGGGAATCTGGGGGGGCTCGGGGGGCAGATTGAGGGGGAGGGGGCTCAGCGGGGACCCCCCCAGCCCCCGCGGGGCGCCCCCCCCCGGCTCCAGGCGGCTGTAGGAGCGGCGGACGCGGGAGGCAATGGGGGAGGGGAGCGGGGAGAGGGGAGGGCAGGGGGACGGGGAGGGGCAGGGGTCGTTCTCCTTCTGGGCCTGCAGCTGTGGAGGGGGGCAGGGGGGGTCAGCGTGGGGGAGGGAAGGGCAGGGTGGGGTCCCGGCCTTACCAGGACCCCCCCATCCCCACCGCAGCCCCCTCCCCCCCAACACACCCGGGGGCTCCGTCGGGGTCGGTCCAAGTCCTGTGGGGGAGGGGAGAGGGTCTGTGAGCCCCCAAACCGGGACGCCCCCCCAAAAACCCCGGGACCCCCCCCCCAAACCCTGGGGCTCCTGGAACACCCCCCAGGACCCCCCACAACCCACTGGGACCTCCCTCTTCATGCCCCTGAGAGCCCCCAGCCCCCCACTCACCGGGCTGTGGGGTGGGGGTCCCCAGGGGGGGCCACCCCGGGGCGACGAGACCACCAAGCGCTCGGAGCTGTGTCGCGGCACTGCGGGGGCAAAGGTGCGGGGCGTGGTGGGGGGCGAGGGTCGCGACCCCCGGGACCGCCCCAGGGACACTCCAAACCCCGCAGAGGCCCCCCAGAGCCGCAGGACGGACACCCCCGGCCCACAGCCCTGCCCGTGAACCGACCCCAGCCCCAAATTCCCTCGGGGTCCCCCCAAGGCGCCCCCAGCCCCACCCCCGCCCCAAATCCCCCTCGGGACCAGCCCACCCCCAAATGCCGCCCGGCACCCCCCGGCCCCCCTCACCCCTCGGAGTCGCCCCCGCCGAGCGCCGCCCGCCCGCGGCTCCCGCCATGGCCGTTCGAACGGCCGGAAGTGGCGTCACGCCGCGCGCCGCAGCAGCCCGGCCGCGCTTCCGGTGACGTCACCCAGGGGCGCCGCACCCGGAAGCGCCAGCGGGGCAGCG